TGATAGTTGAGGCTCTCACAACGAATAACATTGGTGCTGATAGACCTATGCAAAGTAGAAATTACGGTACCCTCTTGCAAGGTTGTATAAAATTAAGTCACATCATGATGCCTACTCAATTCATTGGGTAAAATTTGAAAGAAATCCTGTAAGACTTTAACGGTCCAAGATAGTCAGGAAAATTATCAATTAAATTTTGGTGCTCAAGCGAAATTAGCTTGTTGGTCTGATATATTGACTGATAATTTTGTGGTAAATAGCATTTGATTATAATTTTAAACCTGGCCAGAATTCTGAATACTAGTTTGCGTTTTACATGTAAAATTCAAAGATGCCTATAATTCGTTTTAAATAGATAATTCATAAGTCAGATATGACATATCTCAAAACCCAACTTACAAACGAAAAATTCACAGATTGCTTGTTAGCAAATTTATAAATAATTTAGGAATATGTTTACAATAATATAGTGAATGCAATAATAACTTGTACAAAATCTTAATAAATAGATATGTCAAAAATCTAAAATAAATACATTAGTTTTAGTACATTGAATGAATTTAGATTCATTGAAAAGATGAGAGGGTTGGGAGAATGTGCGTGTAGAGCTGTATCTAAAACGACATTCATTTCGACAGTAAAATGTATTCATTAACCAAAAAATATAAGCAATATTAATAAATAAAACAAAATATAAATAATTAAGTTTTCCTACAGTACTTACTTGTACCCGAGGATTTCCATTTAATAGCAATCCATTCGCCAAGCTTATCGTTTCGACGAAAATCTTCTCGCTAGTGTTGCTATCTTTTATGAGGTTTACGATCAACTGAGTGGCTCCATGCTGGTTAAGAAAAGACTGAATATTGGTCAATCCTTTGAGCTTTTTGGTTATGCCAGGATATAAAGGCGGACCTGACAACGATAGAGTAGTGGAGCGCCTCCAAGCATTTTCAGTAGACTCCTTAACATCCTCTACGTTAAATTGTGAGACTTTCTCATCAAGCCCACCATCAACATTTCCTGAAAAAGAGTACTCATACTCATTTCCAGAAACTGAGATCAAGTCGAAGATGTCAGGTGGGTGCTCGGAAAGAGACTGCCAGGATGGGTCAATTGAACCTAAATTTTTAATTGGTTGGAGAGCAGCTCGTTTCATGCACTGATGACGGAGACTAAGAAATCGACCAAGAAATTGTAGCTGAGACTGATCTGCATGTGAATCGAGACCATCAGGTAATTTGAAAAACTTGCAGGGGCGAAGAGTATGAAATTGAAAAGAGCAGAACGATGATGCAAATGATCAGAAATAGGTACAGGAAAATCATCAAAAT